TCTGAAGAAAGCCTGAAAATAAGGTTCTTTGGACGAACCTTGGCCTGAATTCAGTTGTCTCACCCGTACTTAAGGACTCCATCATTTTCTTAAGAAAGCCCTTTTCTCAACATTGGTTTAGCAAAAAAGTAGGACAAAAGAGGTCTGTATTTGTCTCAATTAAATTTATTTCAGAGTCACCTTGTCTGAAACAGTATTTTAGCATTTTGTTGTAGAAAATGAATTGACAAGAATTCTTTCTTCCATAGTATTTACAAGAGAAGAAATGCCTTTGTCATAAAAAAAAATTTTTTTTTTTTAAACCCACCTTTGTTCAGTAGCTGGAGCTTATTCTCAGGCCATGTGTCCAGAGGTCACATTGACTGCATTATATTCCAAAATAATGAAAAACTTTGTGGTCCCTGGGCTTTTACCACAGAGGGAATAAAAACACCGACATGTTGACCATCTGTGCTGTGGATGTTGGTGATTACCAGGGGAATGAGAGATTCCTTTTGCATGTCTTAGAATAAATGTCTGAATTATTTCAGCATGTCCCTCAGTTTGTCACTGAGTGGTGGGAAGCTTCCTAAGTGTTTGCAGAGGGTCTAAGCAATAATGTAGCACTTTAATGGAACAGAAGCCAGTCTCGTGGAGTACCAAGGCTGCACTGGCACTTTAACAGGAAGCGGATTTACACTGGGCTCCTAGGAGGAGGAGAGCAGGCTGCCAAGTGCTTAGCTTCCCGTGAGTATACTAGTGAGTGTGGATTGGCTCTAAACCTGATTATCAGGAAGTTGCCAGCAAAAGGACTATTTGTGAAGCAGTAGAAAAGCTTTTAAATTGCTAGATCCACAATTCCCAATTGTCTTAGAGCTCTAACACCCTATAGAAGTCCTCTCTCTCTCTCTTTCTCTCTCTCTCTCTCTCTCTCACTGTCTCGCGCTCTCTCTCTCTCTCTCTCTCTCTCTTTAATTTTTTTTGTCTTCACTTGCCAGCCTTCCAAGGGCCACATGGCTGTTATTTTGAAACTACAATGAATAGAAATTGTATGAGAATTTTGCAAATGCCTTTAGCTCTCCATCTTTCATCTCAATTCCTGTTGCCTTCAGAAAATAGGAGTCCTTAGAACCCAGTCTAGTCCTCAGAAATGGTTTGGATGCACTTTTATCTCAGTGATGTGTGGGGGGGCTGTGATGTCCAGTTCCAGTCTGCTTTCTGTGCGGCTACACACACTCACTCACCTTTGTCTTTCAGCCCAGTTCCTCAAAATTGGCATGAATGGGCTGGAGCCCAGAAATGTACACATAGCCCTCTCTAAGCATTTTTTTTTTCATTTTGCATCCTGGAACGTGTTGCCTTTTTCTCTTTGTGCTGATGCTCAGTCCCTCTCTGGGGAGCCTGTGGTGACTGTACTTTAGAGCTGGATTCCAACAGCAGGAGTGCAAGTGTTTTCACTTAACCAAGAAACAAGATGTTAAGTCCATTATCACCCCCCTGAGAACCCAATTAGTCTACCAGTTAGCAGTTTCTGAAATCATATCAACTTAACATTCCCCAAATGCACGCTCCATGTTTAGTATTGTTCTAATGTGTTATTTTCTCATCAGTATTAAAACTACAGTAATACCTTGGTTTGTGAGCATAATTCGTTCTGGAAACAAACTACCTGTATTGTAAGACATCGCTCGTTTACCATATTAAAAAGTATTAGAAATATTTGCTTGTCTTGTGGAACACTCGCAAACCACGTTACTTGCAATCCAAGGTTTTACTGTACAAAGAAGCTAAACTATTTTTTTAACCTGAAACACAAAAATAATGTTTTTGTGTCAGTCATATACCTGCACCTCAGTTGTACTTTGTGCCTTAATGTAATGATTAGTTTAGCATTTGATAGGACTTTCCAATCTTGTGTCTTTGTATTATAGAACAGCATGACATGTTAAAGAATGGTTTTACCAATGCGAGCCACATGAAAAATCAACAATGATTACTGTTTTCTAATTAGATGATAAAGCCTTACTAATTCAGCCTAAATGGAGAAAAGCCATCTTTATTAATGTAAAACTAAATTGTAGAATTCTTTGAAAGAAATTTTCAGGAGAATAATTTTACTTGAAATTGTATTGGACAGTTAGAGCTAAGCTAACGATGAATCGAACTGAACAAATGAAGAAATGAAATGAATGGCAGTTAGCATAACTATGTTTATTAAATAGCCTCCTATAGCAGTGCTTTGAAGTTATCTGTGGGGAAGGACCAGCTTTTTAAAATTTCTAATCCACTGTGGACTGACACTTTTGTAAATTACAAAATCACATCAGTGGCTGTCATGACGACGTCAGATTGCTCTAAAACTTTCCAAATGTGTATTCTCAGTCACTGAACTTACTTCACTGTGGACCAACAACAGTTTGCCGACAAGTGGTCTTGCCGACTTGTGCTTTGAATAATACTCTTCTGTCGTGTTTGAAGCTGTAAAACTTTTTGAGTAGTTTAAATACTCCCCTCAAATCTGTTGTACTGAGTCTTACGCATGTTGTGGTTTTCTGAAGTGGAGGTCCCGCCAGTTATGACCACTTTCCAGTCACTAGATTCGGAGTGTGACATTGTACTTGTTCTCGGCCTAATGACCCATGTAAGCTCACCAAGCGCTCTCCTCTGTCTTGGTTGACTATAATGACAAGCTGTGCTCCTCTCCACACAGAGAAGAAGCAATATCGGGAATCTTACATCAGCGACAACCTGGACCTTGACATGGACCAGCTGGAAAAGCGGTCCCGGGCCAGCGGCAGCAGCGCGGGCAGCATGAAGCACAAGCGCCTGTCTCGTCACTCCACCGCCAGCCACAGCAGCTCCCACACCTCGGGCATCGAGGCAGACACCAAGCCCCGGGACACGGGGCCGGAGGACAGCTACTCTGGCAGCGCCATCCACCGCAAGCTGAAGACCTGCAGCTCGATGACCAGCCATGGCAGCTCCCACACCTCAGGGGTGGAGAGCGGTGGCAAGGACCGGCTGGAGGAGGACTCGCAGGATGATGGTAGCCTTTCCCCAGGCCCTCCAAGCTAACAGTGCTGACTTGCCCTCACCTGGCTTCTTTTTCTCTCCTGGCCCCTCCCTCTCATTCGTCCCCCTGCCACCCCACCAAGTATCGGTTCTATAGAATTGATGTTTGGAGAGCAGCTAAGAGGCAGTAATAGAGAACAGGAGGTGTCTTGTCATCCTCCTCGGTGACTTGGCTGAGTTGTTTGTGTTTGTGAACCAAACATCACTGTACTCACGCTTCTTTGCCACCACCGAATGGGATGGTTGTGGATTCTAAGTGTTAGTGGTTTATATGAAGTAGCGTAGAAGTTAGTCCTGCAGCCCTTGTGTCTCTGATTTCCAGATGAAATAGGCATCGGTTAGGACAACAGGCTGGATGCAGTGATAGTGACAGAAATGTCTTGAACGTCTACACAAAAAAAGATTTGAGCCCAGGCCATTTGTTTAATTAGTAAGTATTTCTTAAATACCTCCCATGTCACCAGAACTCTAGGGAGTATAAAAGGAATTTTGCAGCTGCTGCTTAACTCTGTGTGAAGGAAATGAGACAAGCTCTACAGCCTGTGTCAGCTCAACGTGCCGTTTGTGTGCGTCTTCTTTATTATTTTTCTGTCTCAAATAATTGCTGTAGCATTCAGCTTTGGAGCAAAGATACCGAGTCCATTAAGGAAAACTGCAAAACGGATGTTTAGTTACTATGGAAGTCATGTGGAGCGCAAATGGAGCCACTACGTGTCCTGAGAGTAGGCCGCTCTGGGAAATGGGGAGCTTCATGAACTATTCGTTCTGACTGTGTCAACAGTGTGTTTGCTGTTAGGCAAACGGCCATCAGCCTCAGTTTGCTCTTTGTCATCGCAGCATGGCACTGCAGCTTTTCTTCTAAAGAATAATGAACAGTCAAATTGTGGCATTAGAAGACAGGTAGATGACATCAGTCCTGTGGAAAAGAGAACAAGTAGCGTCTAGTTGAGAATCGTCCCTCGAGTTTCCTACTGAAGAGTCTCCTTAACAAGTGTATTTTATCATATGAATAATTACATAGCCTCCCTCCAAGTGTGGCTTTGAATGATGGTGGCCATGTTTCTTTATGTCATTAAGTGTCTTTTCCTTTTTCTGTCTCAGAAATAGAGATGTTGGTTGATGACCCCAGGGACCTGGAGCAGATGAATGAAGAGTCCCTGGAAGTCAGCCCAGACATGTGCATCTATATCACGGAGGACATGCTCCTGTCGCGGAAGCTGAACGGCCACTCTGGTGAGCCCCTGCAGGACATTCTCCTTAGCTAGTTGATTGTCCTGGACTGGGAAGCGGGGGGCTCGGAAAACAGAAGCATGGGGTCAGAGACAGGACTGGAATTAGAGCCTTTCCAAGTCAGTATTATAAACTGCGGGACCAAGGGTCTTCCGTGGGGGACGGGGAACAGGATGGAGGAGGGGCGCCAGGATCAGCTAGTGGCATCTTCCACCCCTTGCTCTGGACAAAGCTGTAAAGCAGGATTCTCTCTGTCGCTCTCCCTCTCCCTCTCCATCTTTCCCTCCCTCCCTCGTTATTTTAAATGATAATCAGAGAATTATATAATACAGCTAAAAGGCGCCTCACAGACCCTTTAGAGTATCCTCCTTTCTACAGATGAGAAAACCTATAGATTAGAGAAGACAAACGCTACCTGGCTAAAGATAGAAGTCAGGTCTCCAGGTTTGTGTTCCCCGTACTATAATATGCGAGGTACAGGAATCTGGGGGAAAAAGTGTCAAAAAAGGTTGACATAAAAAGACACTTGTAAATTCCATGTTTGATGAATTCTTCCAGAAAACATGCATTCACCATAACCCAATTATAGGGTTATATAATGTATGTAATATATATATTTCTATCAAATGAAAGATGTTATCTTTAAAAAAAATAGCAGCAGTATGGGTTTTGTCTTTAAACCTCAGTTCCTTCTAACCGCTTTGGTTAACATGTCATGAATTAGTCTCTGTTCTTTAGAGAAATATGCCTTAGGAACCAGCACTGTCAGAACTGCCTGGGTGCTGGTTGTTATGCCCCTTATAGCCCAGACCGAGGGAAAGACCCTATTAGGACTGGAGGGACCTGCCATTGCCCTGTCAAGACCCACAGTCCCTGATACGGGGTGAGCCTCTCCTGTGTGCTGGGGCGAGGAATCAGAGGTGAACGCAGCCAGCACACAGTCCCCGTCATCCTGGCCCTGACGCCGCCACAGCACAAGCAGCCTTTTATTGCAGAATTCCAGTTGCTAACCTAGCAGAACCATGGCGGTCACCTGCCCTGCCAGGAATGGACCTGCCAGTGGTTGCATAGACTCCCTCTGCCCGCCCAACAAAGACTCACCAGGCTGGCTGCTCTAGTCATGCTTAGAGTTCTTATATCCAGCTTTCCCCCTTTCTTGCCCATTTGTTTTATTGCAATGAGCATTGGATTTTTTCTTACAAATACATTTCAGTATATATTAAATATAAATTCACAATTATATGTACATTATAGGTACACAGATAGCATGCGCTCGCTCGTGTGTGTGTGTGTGTGTGTGTGTGTGAAGAAAATGGTCTAAAACGATGAATGTCCACGCAAGTGCCTGTGGGACGGGGCGATGGGGGCAGCAGGTAACACAGAGATAGTTAACATGAGTCCTCTGTCAGTTACTAACAGTGGCTGAATAAAGATCACATTAGTCAAGGTTCTTTCTTTATAAGGCAGGAAGGCACCTAAGTCATTTGGCCTTAAGGATGTGGGACTTGACCTATTCACTTGCTTCATCAATTTGCAAGAAAAGTGTCAGTGACCTTCCCTTTCACCTCCAGTTCTTGTTGGTAATTTTACCTTCTGAAAGATTTCTGGGGGTGCTTCACTCGCGTGCCACAGACTCATAAGGAAGTGTCAGCCTGGATTCCTCTTTCCAAAATGCGAGCAGGCTGCTCCTGAGACCTGGGGCGGTTAGGGGCCCTGTGGATCTTAGCGATGCAGAGCTGAATTTTCACGGTGGCCTCTCATTTTGGTCTCTTACCCGTGGGATCAGCTGCAGGGGGTGTGTCACAGTGTCCCTGTCAGCACGAAGAGTTTCTTTGAACTGAGGGGGTTTCATATGCAGGCCTGGCGCCTTGTGCTTTTCGCACATTTGCTCTTTAATCATAAAACTCTCGGTTGGTGCCATTATCAGCCCCCTTTTATAAAAGGAGGAGGCTGAGACACAGGGTGGCCGAGTAACTGGCCAGGGCACACAGCTAATTGCTGGTCTGGGCCAGGTTCCAGCCCCTATCCGTGTGACTCCAGAGGCCAGAGCCCTCACACTCACCCACTGAATGTCCAGGTGGAACCAAACCTAGCAGGCAGCATCACTGTACAGGCGGCGTTCAATTCAAAGTTAGTGTTATGTGGAGAGTGGGAAAACTTTAGGAGATATAGTGAGGAGACTGCTTTATACCTGCGATCTTGGTTTTTATTACTAACTTCATCATAAATAGCTTTTAGAAGTTTATTTTAGAAAACTCAGGCTCTAAACTCCTTCTATACTCAAACCCCACATTTATCTCACACACACCCCTCCCCTATCCCCCCCCCCCATTTACTGTAAGACACAAGACAAAATGTGTTCCATCCTGGTTGTCTATCACCAAAAAGTTACAGTGAGATTTTTCAATAATGGTTAATATTTGATCCTTCATTCTTGGTGGTAGTAGTATATGTCAGATATGTGGCAAGACGTATGAATAATTTGAAGTCTTAATTTTTTTTTTCCCCTGTGTTTTACTTTAGGGTTGATTGTAAAAGAAATCGGTTCTTCCACCTCCAGCTCTTCAGAAACAGTTGTCAAACTTCGTGGCCAGAGTACCGATTCTCTCCCACAGGTATGGAAGGAATTGAAAATTTAAATAGGAACTTGACATTTATATTTATATAAACAAGTGAAAATTAAAAATCATAAGAAAATGATTCTTACCAGATACATACATACATTCTAGTTTTATTCTGAATGTGTTTCCATTTTGTTTGCTAATTCCATTTTGAGTTGATTTTATTTTTAGATAAATTATGTACTTTGTTTCACTGTTTATGTGGGTGGGAAGCCTCTAGCCTTTAAGCTTTGCGCGTGTGTGTGTTGATTGACCTCCGCAATTTGTCAGGTGTGTTGTTTGCAGAAATGTTTTCACACTCTGATTATTCTATTCAGAGTGAATTTTCAAAGTACGCTAAGTAAGAGTATTTGATAACCTGTATTCACAGGTTAGACTGTTAACATGTCAAAAGATATAGATAAATTGAAATACTCTAATACTCATTGGTGCAGCATTTGTATATAATGGACAACTTTATTCACCTCTATTTTCTGAGTTTTCTCCATCTTTCCTTATATGCCTCTCTTTCTTGGATTGTCTCTACCTTTTTCTTTTTCCTTCTATGGGTTTCTGTCTTTGATTTCTTTCTCTTGCATTCTAGCAGTCTTTGCCTCCTACATTTTTCTCTTTCTTCCTTTTTTCCCCAATTGTCCATTCTCTTATGTCCATTTAAGTAGCCACAATGTAAAATGATATTTTAGTAAATATTTTTCTGAAAACTCCACTGAGTAATTTTTAAAGCAGTAGGTATAATATGATTAGGTGGACGAGCTCCAGGGTCAAAGCCTGGGTTTGCACCCCTGCTCCCCCAAGTGTTCGCTCTTATTGTACATGAATGTTTGTGGGGCACAGCCGAGTATCAGAGTCCACACCTACAAAGCGGGGAGGGCATTCTGTGCCTGCCTTGAGGATTTTGGTGATGATCTGTTGAATTCTCTGTGTCACGTCTCATTGGCACCTAGGAAGACTACCTCAGTACAAGGGATCATCAACTTCAGGGAGTGCTCAGGTGTGACACTTCCTGATATCATTTGTTGCATTCAGACACTCGTCTCTCCTCCTGGTACTTTTGCCTTCAGCAAAAGTGGCATCTTATTCTAACAAGGTTGGCCTTTGTGGTGTTCAGCAGCAAAAGTTAGAGATATAATGCCTCGTTTCCTTAAATAACCCACTTAGTATCTTCATTCATGTAATTATCTGAGCCATTTTTAACCTATTTATATTTTCAGCCAGTACCACCTCTTGGGATAATGAGTTCCAAAAGTCTGCTGCCTGCTGTGTGAACCATTTGGCAGAACATGGCCTCTTGCAGTGTTTAAGAGCTGCCTCGCAACCCGGGCGCTTGCCTCCCAACCTTTTCTGCACCAAGAACACTTCATATTATTTTTCCACCCAAGAATTCTGGCTTTTAAAAAAATGGTTCTTCCAACTGTGTTTCTTGAGTAATAATTAGTTTGTTTTCCCATTTCTTATTAAAATAAACACAGAGCTCAGCATGAGAGTGTTGCCACCTTGAAATGCCATATCCTAGTGAAAAATGAAGAAATGGTGTCTTCACCTATGCAGCCTTATGTTCTGATAATTGATTGATTCCTGAGATGCGGGAGATAGATTCCTGTTGCGTTTGATTTCTCTGTGTCTTGGATTATTCATCTGTAAAATGGGGAGAGTGATAGCACCCGCCTCAGGGCCAACAGGAAAATTAAATGAGTCAATAATACATGTATGGTGTTTAGATCAGGGCCTAGCACATAATAAAGGCTCAGTAAATGTTAGCTGCTATTACTGGTGGTGGTGGTGCTGATATTTTTCCCCACCAGGGCCTCAGAGGCCCAGAGACGTGAGATTGGAAACCACTTTCTAACATACATATAGAGAGATTTCTTAACCTTTTATGAGTCTGCAGCCTCTCTGTCTACAGGGCAAATGTTGCTAACCTTTCACTTTACTCTTGAAGTTGTTTCAGCCTTCCGTTGTTTTACAGACCATATGTCGAAAACCAAAGACCTCCACGGATCGACATAGCTTGAGCCTTGACGACATCAGACTTTACCAGAAAGACTTCTTGCGCATTGCAGGTCTGTGTCAAGACACTGCTCAGAGTTACACTTTTGGATGTGGCCATGAACTGGATGAAGAAGGCCTCTACTGCAACAGCTGCTTGGCTCAGCAGTGTGTCAACATTCAAGATGCTTTTCCTGTCAAAAGAACCAGCAAATACTTTTCTCTGGATCTCACTCATGATGAAGTTCCAGAGTTTGTTGTATAAAGTACGTCCTCGTGCAGCTATATCCGGCAGCCTGCTGTTTGCTAGAGGCTGTGAAAGCCATGGGTTCTTTCTTTACGTGTTTTTGTGCCATATTTTCTTTACCCCAAATGCAGCTCTTTCTTGATGATATTTGTGATGGAAATAAAAGCCTTGGAACAATTGCACTTTAAGTATTGCGCAGAATTAAGAGAATGTACAGCAAGACAAGTGCCCGGAAGTTCACGATCCTTTGGAAAGGAAATGTGCTTTACTGGTTACCAAGCCTTCAGGATATTGAACGGTGGTGTTTTTTGTTCATTGTTCTTTTGTTTTTTTAATTCAATTACCCATAACATCACTTTTTTTTAATCATGTGAATAATGTTGTTAGGTCTGTTTGTTTGCTTGTAAATTTTTGTATCACTCCCTCCTGAAATGCTCCTGTTTTGAGGGAGGAGAGAGAAGAGTCCCTTCTTATTTTAATGGACAGACCATTGCCTAGTACACAGCCATCGCCGCCTCACAGGGGCTGTCCCAAAAAGAACACTAACGAAGCAGTCAAAATCATGTGGTTCTAGCAAGCCAAAGATACGTACGTAACAGGAGTGCAGCCCAGGGTCAAGAAGATGTGAATTAAGCAATAACCGGAAGACTGTGCATGCTGTGATGTCGTGTGACTCCCTCACGCCCAGTCAGTGCCATGTCCTCCTCCTCTGCTCCTCTTCCAGAAAGCTCTAGGACTCAGTCAAGCTCCTCATTCAAGTAACGGATCAATTGTGTTCATATCATAATGCATTTTGTGGAGTTTCCAACCCTGTTTTCTGTTAAAATTATGGAAATATCTTAGAAAATGTTTGCGCTTGGTGTCTTTTTTGTTTTTTAACCAAGAACAAATTACAGTAATACTAGTTTCTGCTTAACCAAAAATACCCTGATTATACATATATGTTATTATACATATATAAATACATGAGATTGTGCGTGTTTATATGTGTTTAAAGCTTACTACTTCATTTTCACTTCCATGACTATCTTGTATACGTGGTCTTTCTTTTTTTAATATGGTGGATGCATCATTGAATGAATGATACCTACAGACAATCAGTTGACATACATATAGTTAAACATGACTATTTTTTTCCTGTGTCTTTTGCCATTATTCTCAACCCAGGGTGCATAGTAGAATTATTTGGGGAGCTTTAAAAAAAATACATAACAATGTCTGGGTCCAACCTCCGATGAATTAAATCAGTCTCTTGTGGTAAGACCCGAGTGGAATTGCCTTTTCTTTTAAAGTTCTCCAAATGGAGCTAATATGCAGCAGAGTTGAAAACCACTGATCTAGAGGGTGTCTTTGTATTAATTTTGAAATAAAAGCATCCAGAAAATGTTAGTGTTTGAGAAGAGGCCATTTTTAAGACAGTTACTGCCACTGCTGTTAGGCTATATAATGAAACCAAGTCAGGAGAATGAACTTACTAACCTTTAGATGTCAATACAATGTGGCTCGCACTTCAGGAGAGTACTTTAGCACAATGTCTTTCTATGAAAAGTTTTTAATGATTTCATATTTAAAACATTTGTTTACCATATTTTGATATACCATTTTTTCTATATACCAGGTTTTATTAAAAAAACTATATTATTTTCTAAAGAAACTCATATTTTTATACAAAATTAAGTTTTCAGGTAACAAAGAAATAGATTTAGGGTACAGAACATGCAGTGTTACCCACAGATGGGAGTCAGTATTATAAACACATGGAGAACGTGAGCAAACTCCACCTGTGCAGCCCCTTGCATGTCCCCACAGGGATGTGACAGGGTAGTGTGTGCACAATAAGCCTGGTCCAATCAGTTTAACTTGACACTTTAAATGGAACACACTTCTATAGTGTTCTATAGTCATGAAATTATTTTACTTTTATCAAATGTTTTTAAAAAACCAAAGTTTCAGATATCAGAATGTATAACAGTGTCTCAGTCTCTGTATAAAAAGGATAAAGTATGAAAGGATCATCTAATGACTGTTTTACTTATAAGTCATTAAATAATCCACCATTTCTTATAGATGCTCAAGAGACAAATCCTGGTGACATTTGATTCTAAAGAGCCCAGGTTATAATGTGGTGCATTTCTTTAGCTGTTAGTGTTTCTTGCAGTCATCAAGAAAAAAACCTATTTCATTAATGAGATAGTGCTTTATACTTTATTTTCTCTCTCCTTCAACCAGAATCAAGTCTTCAGGTTTTTCCAGCACTGTTGGTGGTTTTGCACACCGTCTTTCTAATTGGATTTTGAATAGTTTTGTGGGTTTTCAAAAATGAAACATGCTAAGATGCTAAGGACATTCTTGCTTTCTGATCCACTGTTTGCAGCAGAATTATATATATGTATATGAAAATCCATTTTGAATACCTACATTTTTGTATTTGGAAATTGTTTTAAAAAATAAAAAATAAGGAAAAGAAAAGTATAAAGCTGTTATTTATTCTGCATTTGTTAATATCCATTGCTAGTTAGTATACCAATTTGGTATATATTGCCTCTACACATCTACATTTGTATTTGCAACAGTGAGCTTTATATCTACAGAAACTTGTCAATAATCCTTTCTGTGAAAGGATCATCATATCAGGATGATACCAAAAGTGTGTTTAAAAAAAACTGCATTATTTTGTAATTATTCTTGTAGGCATTTCATGGTAAGATTAACAGTCAATAAAGTTAGTTTTTATTTGTCTTTGAAGTGCATTTTTTTTGTTATTATAGTTCTCAATTAAGCAAGAAGCATTAAAGAGTGAATGTTTTCTTTGTATTCTTCTTTCCTACAATAGAGCACATTAAAGGACAACCTAGAGTTCCAGTGTAATAGAATTCTGAGCAAAACAGCCCATAATGATGATAGCAGTAGCTGATGCTGGGCCCAGCCATGTCCCAGACCCTTCTCTACATGTGTTAGAAGTTCATTTGTTAACTTGTTTAAGCCTCGTATTCCCAGAGTCAGGTACTATTATTATTCTTAGAGATGAAGGAAACAAGGCTCAACAGGCCAAATCTGAGAGGTTGTGGCAGTCAGCCACTATTCAGTCCCAAATTGTGAGGCTCAAAGGACTCTATTTCAAATATAATATTTTTTAAATTCAAATAACTACTTTAACCTTTGCCCTTAATCATCACTGGAGCATTGGTTTAAAAAAAAAAAGAGTGGTTGCATTTAAAAGCATACATTTACAAGACTGAATGTGAGGACATGGCATAAAGGGACAAAGCCCAGAGCTTAGAGGCTATAGACAAGATTCTGAAATGCCCCTGTTCTCCTTCTAAAAGAAAATCCATTACCTGTATCCCTTGGCTATAACAGGTGGGAATAATAATCCAAAGGACAACTGGGGGTTAAATAAGGTGATAGGTATAATATGCTCTGGATGACTAAGGTAGGAGAGAGAAAGGTTTTCAAATCTAACAAACAATTAACTTTTATAGAACTGAGCCATTTGGTCAATTGAAAGCAAAACCCAAAACAAAAGCTTTCTAGTGGGTGTTACCCGTGAATCTTGCAGAGTATCTGGTAAATTATAAGTAAATTGGAGGCAAGCAAAGAAAATACCTGTTTATCTTACTATGTATCTGATATTACAGCATGTCTCCTCAGAACCCTTCAAGGAGTTGTCACCTTCATTTTATAGCTGAGGAAACAGTTAAACTTGCCCAACGTCCTACAGCTAGTAATTGAAAGACCCGAGTTTTAAACCCAAATCCACCTCCAAAAGCTTTGCTTTTTCTATTACATATAGCTTGTTATTCACTACCCTTAGGGGAATCTCAGCATTTAACAGGGAAGACAGACTTCAAATTTTGATACTGTGATAAATGAAATTTATTTTTTCATGCATTGTATACTCGTTTTGAATACCCACTCTTTGCCAGATATACTCAAGGCTTATATAGGTATATTGCTTTGGCACAGGCCATGAAGACCTAAGGGATGGGAATGAGAGGTGGGAAGATCAGGGAAGGTTTTACTCAGAAGAAGAGCATGGAATGGGAACTTCTGGCAGGGTGGGGTGGGGTACAAGCTGTCCAGGCAAAGGCTTAGAAACCAGAGAGAAAAAAGATGAGCTTACTGCCTAGAGAGAGTTTCCAGGCCACAGTGAGGGAGGAGGAACCCAATCAGATCCCAGTGGTCTCCCTGAACTGTGAAGGCAGAGTGGAGAATTCAGGGAGGCCAATGTAACCAGGATTCACAGGGCAAGAACCAGAGAATAGAGAGCTGCATAGAGCAAGGGGGGAGGGGGAGAGGGGAGAGACAGTACACGGGAGATCTGCAGGAGGCTCTCTCAAGTCTTCAGCTGAGTACTGATCAGCATACATGTGTGAGTGTAAAAATATCTGAGATTGGAGAGGATACCACGAGAAAGAGGCAAAACAATCCCTGGAGCTCACATAGGGCCAGGAATAGTTTGTGTTTTCCCCATCTGGAGGGAAAAAAACCTTGCAATACCTGGGACATCTTGTAAAGTACCCAGAAGGGTGTTTTCCAAGACTAAAGATTGCTCTGGCCCTGCCTAACAAAGCTTAAAAGGCAAGTCTTTTTCAATATTGAAAGAGAAGTGCTGTCATCTTAGAATTCTATACCCAGCAAAAATCTCTTTCAAAAACAAAAACAAAAACTTTTTCAGGCCTGCAAAAGCTGAAAGAATTCAACACCAGCAGATCTGCACAAGAAATCTTAATAGAAGTCCTTCAGGCACAAAGAAAATACCAGATGAAAAACTTTATCTGCACAGAGAATGAAGAGCCCCAGAAATGATAAATATGTGGGTAAATATAAAAAATTTTTTTACATATTTTAAATCTATTTTAAAAAATGACCATTTAAAGCAAAAATAAAAACAATATATTATGGAATTTGTAACATATATAAAGAATAAAATGTATGACCACAATAGCAAAAAAACCAGGAAAGGGACATGAAAGTACTATACTATTGTAAGTTTCTTATACTGTATTTGAAGTGGTGTGATATTACTTGAAGGTGGATTATGATAGCTTAAAAACGTATACTATAAACTCTAACCACTAAAAATAAAGAGGAAGATAAAATAATAAAAATTACTAAACTAAGAGAAGGTAAAGAGGACAAAAAAATAAGAATAGGACAAGTAAAAAACAAATATTGGGTTGTCGGAAAAGTCATGGCGCATTTTTGCAATGAAAAACATAGAAAAAAATATGCCATGACTTTATCGACAACCAATAGAAAGTTGGTACATTTAAACCAACTATATCAATAATCAATTAAATGTAAAATGTACCCAAAGACATTTACAAGGAATAGCCAAGAACTTTTTGAAACATAAACCCATTGAGAACATATTCACTTTTCTAAATGCAAAACACACTAAAGAGTTCATGTTATTAATGATACTGACTCAAGGATTGGCAAATTTTTTTCTATAAAGGGCCAAATAGTAAATATTTGAGTCTTTGCAGACCATATGTTCTCTGTTACAACTACTCAACTCTGCCATTATAGTGTGAAAGCATCCATAGACAATATTGTAAACAAATGAGTATGGCTGTGTTTCAATAAAACTTTATTTACCAAACAGGCAGAAGGCTGGATTTAGCCCACAACCTGGGGTTTGCCAATTTCTGATTTAGAGCAACGTATCATGATAGACCAAAAGCAGACCAATATATAAAAGGGAACTTAGTAAATGAAATAGGTGGCATTTCAAATAGGGTAAAGGATGAATTATTCAGTACTTCGTGCCAGAAAAATTATCTGTTCTTTTGAAAAATAACATTAGATCTCAACTTTGTACCATTCACAAAAATAAGTTAAAGAGCTAAACATTAAAAAATTAAAACTATAAGCATATTAGAGGGTAATAGAGAAAAATATATTTATAAACTTGGGGTTGGGGAAGCTTTCCTAAAATAAACAGTACTCACAAGTCACAAAAAACAAAGTTGATAAATTTGAGTGCAAAAATTTTTAAAACAATTTAAAAATTTTAAGTGTCTTTGGGTAAATTGTACATTTAATTAATTATTGATATGTTTGGGTTTAAATGTAACTATTTTAAAAATGGCCTGAAAATAGATATTCCTAAAGATAGGTGAGAGACAGGGAGAAAATATCTGCAACTTTTATAACAAACAATTAACATCTATAGCATTTAAAGATATTCTACAAATCTATAAGAAAAATACAAACAACACAGTAGAAATATGGGGAAAATATGATTGGGAAATTCACAGAAGAAATTTTAAAAACAGCTAATAAATACATGAAAAGGTATTTAATCTCACCAATAACAGGGTAACCCAACATTAATATTTTTTACCTATTAGCAAATTAACCAATCAAATTGACAAAGTTAAGACAATTGATAATATCCAGTGTTGGTAAGAGTGTGAAGAAATATTCTATTCTTTCATAATTTTTTACAGGAGTATAAATTAGTACAGCATTTTGTAGGACTATTTTTAATAAAGACAACTTGCAACTCAGAAATTTATTTCTACATATTTATCCTACAGAAATAAAAACATAAAAATGACTTAACAGTATTAATTTGAAAAGAGAAACGTGTAATATGATCTGTGTCAAATAAATACTGGCACAATCTTATTGTGGTATAGTATGCAGCAGTTAAAAATAAATGGTTTAGAAGTACAGACATTAAAAGATCTTTAACATATGCTGTTAAGCATGAAAACATAGGCACAATGCAGTACACTAGTGTAGTATGAAAAAAGACAAGGCACGTAATCATCTGTATGTTTTTAAATGTAAGTAAGCGCATGAAAAATGACCTTGAAGAACATATAACAAACTAAGCTATGGGTAACTGAAAAGGGGAGTGACTAAAGATGCAAGGAAAGGAGACTTACCTTTTTTTTTGTTTGTTTTATCTCCATATTCTCAGAAGAAAAAAAGAAACAAGGCAGGGAGTAAAAATATTTTGGAGAAAAACAGCCTATTATTATTCTCAGAGAGATAGAAAATATTGCACTCAGAAAATTGGAGAACACTGCTATATGGATAGAGATATAGAGAATTATAAGAGTTCTTCAAAATATGATAGCCAAAATAAACATTTCAATGGAAGAGTTGAAAGATAAAGGAAACCTCTCAGAAAGCAGAATAAAAACATCCTATGGTAGATGTTAACATACATGCATATATACAAATAGCTTACATACATACATGAAATCTTACAAGGGGAAATCTTACAAGAAAAATTTTCAGAACCTAAAGACATATAAACTAAAAAAAGAAAAGAAAATGCAAGGAATGCATAGAAAATGAGTAATAAAGACCAAGCCAAGACATATCATCATGTGATTTTAAATAATAGGGATAAAGAAAATAACCCTGAAAGCTTCCATGTATTTGCCCCAATCCATGGTTGAGTATTTTTTTTGTTTTAAGACTTTTTTTTCGAGTAGTTTTTTGTTCACAGCAAATTGAGTGGAAAGTATAGAGATTTCCTTTGTATGGGGATTTCTTAGATACCCTTTGCCCCCACACAGCGTAAGTTTTTTTAAAAAAAAAAAAAAAGGAAGGAAGGGAAATGGGAAGGGAAGGAAAGGAGCAAGAAAGGAAAGAAGGAAGGAAGGGAGGGAGGGAGGGAGAGAAGGATGAGAAAGGAAAGAGAGAAAGTGAGAAAGAGAAACGGAGAGAGAAAAGAAACAAAGGAAAAGGAAGGAGAAAGAGAAAGAAAAGAG